TGTCTTCACAAAGGATGCCGAAGAGGTGAGAATTTCTGAAGTCATATGCTTGCTATTAGATCCTTCAGCTGCTGCCTTGCTTTCATTTACCTGAGTTGTTGCATTCACTATGGTTGTTTTTATGAAATCTCTCTTTGGAATCCAGATTTGTTTCTATTTATACATCTTGGCGTTTTGAGGATTAAGTGATTATGAAAGTAAGTCTTCTATGAGATATTATATAGACGTGTTACATACATAATTCTAAGTATCTGTTGTTTCAATATTGATTAAGTCTAATCAATATCTTAAATGATAAATCTTGGAAATGTTATCTAACAGCCTGACCTATTAAATATTCTTTAACAGTTATGAATATTATAGTTAACTAGTTTAACTGTTGCTTCTGGTGTCAATTTTACTTCATAATGTTTTTCAGAAAATCAAAGGGAAGTTATTGAAAGTATTTGCATGCAATAAAAAATTTTTGGTCAAAAAGTACATTTTCATTAATTGAAGCAGGAGGATTACAAAATATTTATTCATAAGGAACTGCTAATGCTTAGTATAGATCCCTATCTAAGTCATCCTGAGCATTATGATGATAATAGTTGTCATAATATACGTCTATCTCATCCTCATCAGCTTCTTCCTCGTCTATCTCTAGGATTGGACGGTAGAACATTTTGTTGGACCACCTTCTTCTCTTTGACCTCTTCATTGTCTTCCTTATAGGCCTCATCACAGCTTATAATGAACCTATCTCTGTAGGTTGTGTTGGAGTTGTTGACGTTGCCTCTTCATAAGTTAGCTTTGCAAAGGGCACATGCCCAATTGTGGACGTCTCAAAAACAACTCACTTTTGTACGTTCTGGACATCTTGTCTTGTAGATCTCTCAGAGATTTTTGTTACTATAAAAGTATTATGACTCTCAGCTGATGACTCTGTGACTTTGGTGGATGTTGATGAAAATGAACTAGGTTTGGATTGCTTTTATAATGACTTCTGAGTATTCAAACGACTGATTTAATCCTTGCTTGATTCTTGGAACAATAACAACCACTAAAAATTTAAAGCATGCACTATACAATCCTTAATGACCACATGTTACTTGACCCTTTTTCAACTTCTTGTAAATTGATCCTGTAATGATGGCATGTAATGCATTTATGACTGTAATTCTTTTCTTCTTCTCTTTTTATTTCTTTTTGATGTGACAAAAAACAGGAGAAATAATGGTAAGTATTTAATTAGAAACTGAATTTATTGAGTACCTGTTCAGTTGTACATATTGGTCATTTATAATTTTGTTATTTATATTTCTACTTTTATGGTTATCTTGCTTGGGCGACACATTTTAACTTTCTTGTACATATAACTAAGGAGGAGCTTACAAACCTCAACCTTATCCTATCAGACTCAGAAGGAGCTTACAAACTTCGTATTCTGATGTTGTCAAAGAAAGTTAAAATATTATTTTTGGTTTTCTTAAATATGAAACTAAGGGGGAGCTTACAAACCTCAATATTAGAACTGTTTGACTCAAGGGAAGCTTACAAACCTTAAACTCTGATGTTACTAAGAAAATTGAATTACTTTTTCTTGAAAGTGGTGTTTAATATGATGTCTACAGAACTCAGCTTTGGACTATTAGACTCAGGGGGGCTTACAAACCTCATATCCCGATGTTGCAGAGAAAATTATAATTGTTCAACATTGTTCTTTAAATATTTGTGTTTTTCATCATAAAAAGGGGGGAGATTGTTAGAACACGATTTGTTTATGACATATTTTTCTTGGGTTTTGATGATAACAAAGTATTGAAAGAATAATAGTTTATTTGATGCGTGTTACACGTGTGCAGGTTCTAATACTTGTAAATATTATAGTCAGAATTTGTGTTACATTAAGCACACTTTGAGAGTTGCTAAGTTGCAAGCTTCTGGTGGCAGAATCTGAAGAACACTTGCTAAGTGATGTCTGGAGTAGACTCTGAAGCTGAAGGTCTCAGCATCAGAAGAAGCAACATAATTGTCTCTACAATTAGTGAATGTAAATTGACTTCTGATACCATTCAAAGTTGGTGATAAAGATGAAGTTGTCCATACTGCAGAAAGCAAGTTATATTGTCAAATCAGTTTGTCAGCTATAGTTTATAGATTGCAAGGCTCAAGAAAGGCTGGGATGTTTTATGGATATTTACTCTCAATGGCTCTAATAGTAAAAAAATTCTTGAATACTAAAAGTTTAAACATGTTACACATTGGATCAAGATCTTCTGGTGTATCTATCTTCAAAGGCTCTTGTACTATGGAGTAACAGTAAAGACTCTTGATCAAGTTACCTCTTCAACAACAAGTTTCTGAAAAGGCTATAAACATGGCTGAAGGTTCAAACTGAATCTTTAACAAGGATCAACCAGAAGAAGGAGTAACAAGATCAACAATTATCAACATATTGCATATGCAGATTTTTTAATGTAGGTTGTAATTGTAAAAGCCTTAAGATTTTTTACACATTGAATATCTTATAAATCTTAAGTGATTTAGGTCTTTGTTATGTTGATTTCTCGTACCTCTGATACTTGTATCATGTACACCTTGTTCTCTATTCTATTGAGCTTGTTCAGCAGTTTAGATAAAAGTCTTGTGTCATTGGGATATAAGCAAGGAAGCCTCGAGGCAAGATGCTTGAGCCACGTAAGTCTGCTATGTGCTTGAGTTGTAAAGATATTAATCAACTAGGTTGATTGAGCATGAGTCTTATATCATTGGGATACAAGCAAGGAAGTTTTGAGCAAATATGCTTGAGCCACGTAAGTCTCTTACTACGTGCTTGAGCAATGAAAGTCTTAATCAAGTGGATTGATTGGCAGGAAGTCTTGAGGCAGAGGGCTTAAGAAGGATGGCTCAGTACATGAAATTTTGAGCAGTAAGTCTTGACCTGAGGGGTGCAAGCAGGGAGGCTCGTTTCATGGGACTGGAGCAGAAGTCTTGAGCCAGAGGGCTTGAGCAAGAAAGCTCAGTACATGAAATTTAGAGCAATAAGTCTTGACCTGAGAGGTGCAAGCAGGGAGGCTCGTTTCATGGGACTTGGAGGAGAAGTCTTGGGCTAAGGGCCTGAGCAAGGAAGTCTTGGGTTCGTGGAATCTGAGCAGGAAGTCTCGAGTGAGGAGTTTGAGCAAAAGTCTTGGACCTTGGGTCTGAGTAAGTGTAAAAGTCTTATGCATAATGCATAAACGATTGTAATCATGTTTTGATTATAGTGAAAATCTCTTGTGAAGCAAGGGGACTGGACTACTCTCAGTTTGAGAGGAACTAATATAAATATTTGTGTCTTCTGCTATTATTTATTTGTTTCAGTTAACATTACGTTGCTAAGACCTAACCAGAATCTGAACACCAATTTAGATTTTTAACTCTGATCAGACGCAAACTAAAAAAAAAAACACACAATTCAACTCCCCCCTCCCTCTCTTGTGTACTTTTCTCACATTCAAGTCTTTTTTATTAAGAATTGATCTCTTCAAAGTCTAATGATTATTCTATTTGTCTCAACTGATAACATTTAGAGCACATATGAACTTAATTTGTCTCAACTGACAAAAAAATATAGTATTTAAAACATATATAAAATATTACGGTAGTCATAATTCTCTTGCCTTATCTTAGTCCATTGATAAGAAAAACTTAAGTGTTTTAATTCATGTTTGATATTGTCTAAATGCATAACTTCATATCAAATAAAGATATACAAAAGTATCATAGACATTACAATTTTAATTAAAAAGAAAGACAACAAATACATAGTAACTAAACAAAATTATATATATATATATATATATATATATATATATATATATATATATATATATATATATATATATATATATATATATATATATATATATATATATATATATATATATATATATATATATATATATATATATATATATATATATATATATATATATATATATATATATATATATATATATATATATATATATATATCACTTTCCAAAAATAAAAAAGAACTATTATTTTAGAAAACACTCCATATAATCAAAACACCATATAAAATAGACAATGACCATCATTTGTGATAGATATAAACCATTTTCAAGATTGAATATAAATAAACACAGTGATACCTAACACCTCATCAATTGAGTCTTAAAAAAATTCTACCATATTGAAATATAGGTTTAATAGTTTTTTTTAGTTCTGTATTTTAATTTTAGAGTTCATTTTAATTTTTTAATTTAAAAAAAAATATATTGAATTTTTAATTTTTTAAAAGTATCATGTTAATCTTTTTTATTAAATTATTGACAAAAAAATTAAAAAATTGACGGCTAAATTCATTGATAATAAAACAAAAAAACTAATATAATATATTTTGAAGAGTTAAAAAATTGATATAAATTTTTTAAATTAAGAGATCAAAATAAACTTCAAAATTAAAATATGAGAATAAAAATGATATTAAACCTAAAATATACAAATATGTTAAAGTTCTAATAAAACTAAAACTTTTCCTTTTTTTTATTCACCCCTCAGAACTAAAAGTCCTAATAAAATGTTAAAGCATGTGACATAACCATCACCACACACCTCAAATAAATATGATTTTTAGCTACTAAAACACATAATACAACCAATAACATTTGTAAAAGGGAATATGAACAATAATTTTGAATGTAAAATAACGTTTGAAATAAATAAAATAAAAGTTATAATATAAAATTACAATTAATTCTTGAGACAAAATCAATTACACTAAACAACACTTAACATATTAAAACCAATTCAATATAATCAATTTTAACACCTCTAAAAATATATATATACACTACACCTATTTTGATGGTCAAAAGATTAAAATATTTGTTGATCATAATATACCAAAGACTAAAATAAAATTCATATACCTTTATACAGACACAAATTTAACCATAGAAAAATTTTCATATATCTTAAATTGTTGAATTCTTCACCATTGATCAATTTTGTTTTTACATTTTTCTTCCATGCCTGAAACAAGAATAAACAATGTTTAATATTTAATGTCCATGTATTTATTAAAAACCATGCAATTTAGAGTTACCTAGAATCTTTTATGGTAGTTTGAAATCTTGATGAAAATGCTTTCTTCCCAATCAACTTAGGTTCATGTTTCTCTTTTTTCTTGGCTTCTAATCTTGATGTATATGTTTTATTTACATTAGCAATAGCATGATCTCTTATAATATGATCATTCTCCTCGTGTGAATTATCATCAGATAAAGAGTTAGCAGAAGAAAGAATTACAAGCAACATGTTTAGCTCAACAAGAGATGTGTCTGGAATTTGTGAAGGACATGATGTTATATTTTCTTCTACCTCTTCATTATCTATTTCTTTCTCGGTTTCTTCCATATTTTGTATTATAAAAATGTCACATTAGATCAAAGTTTCACTTTGATTATGATCTTTGTATTTATGTATTAATATAGACATTCTTGGAATTATTTTCTTTGAGTATATTAATAGACTAGACATGTAAATAAAGAAAAAGAAATGAAAGGGTGAAAAAAACCTACCTAGATTAAAGATGCTCAATAAAGTTGTTTGTCTAATTTGAGCTTGAATGTAGATATATGTTTTATTCTATTCTAAAATGTGAGGTTATTAATGATGAATCTTGCAAATTTGTAATCATTGGTTAATTTAAAATATTGATTAACTCACAATATTATAAAAATAATAAAGGTTATAAGTGCATGAGAGGAGATAAATAATGGAAAACTTATTGTGAACACAAATGTAATATGACCTATTTGTGTTGGTTTTGCTAAATGTATCATTTATTTCAATATGTATACATGTAGATTTTGACACTCATATTCGAATATAAGATAATATAAATATTTTTAATAGAAATCTCATATATGATTTTATCTTACCGGTTGATCAGAATCTGAGGTGGATTAAAGACAATCGTTTGTGATGCTGAGTGTGAAAGAGTATGAGGGGGTGTACCTGCAAAGCACTCCAATGTTAAAGTAAGAAAACGAGTAAGAGAGAGAGCAAGTACAGAATATGAGTGTTTCAGAGTAAATATTGGATATCTGACCCTCTCAAATGAGAGGATTTTTATAGTGCCTCCAGCGCTTGGCCATTGGTTCCTATTTTCGGGGCGAGATAAATATTTCCCAAAGAATAGGTAATTGCCAGAGCTAGCCGTTGTGACGGGCAGGCGTGCCTATAACTAGCCGTTGGCATGGGCAGACGCGTAGTTACGGGTACAAGCCTTTTGGCTGTTTCTGGATGGTGGAACCGTGCGTGACGGGCAGAGACTGACGAGGAGAAGTGTTGTGACCAAGGGTAAATTGGTCAGCCTCCCTGTTGGAGAGGCATAAATGTAAGTTCTTCCCTCAAAGTGGTTGGTCTTAGGCAATTGGATCGTTATGGGAGCAGAAGTGAATTGGGCAATGTCTAGCCATTGGGTCAATCCGAAACAGTAGCCCCCTAAGTCGTTGCTACCGAGCATGGTAGTGATGACTTAAGGATAGTCTGCTTTTCGGGCATAGTCGTCGTAAGCTTCCTTATGTCCAAAGGAATCCTTGTCCAGACGTATGAAATGTCGTTGTCGGAGAGCTTGAGGTCCGGGGAACCCAACGGTTGATGGGATCTAAAGAGTGGGGGTGTCACGCGTGCCTTGAGTCGTGTGCTGTATTAAATGCGTGATAATGGCTAGGCTAGAGTCATGATGATGTTCTACCCGCGTGTGCTCGTGCACATGCATGATATTTGCTTATAAATAGTGAAAGGGTCCGTTCATTCATCACTTTTGCTTCTCTCTCCTCTTGCTCATTGTTCCCCGTTCTCCGCCGCTTATTGCCTTCTAGTTTCGCTCCGGCCACCGTACGACATTCGACCAAAGCTACTCAAGTCCAGAATCTCTTCCTCGATCAATTAAGAATGTTGATTCCTTGCTTGCTCAATGTCATTCTGGTTTGATGCTTTAGAATGCATGTGGTTAGGACTGAAACGAAGTAGTTCTAAGGTGTTTTGTGGTGGCTCTTGACGGCAGACGGTGGCGCGGCCATCTCTCTGCTTCCGGCGCTGCAGTCGCCGTTTTTAGAAAGGGAAAATTAGTAAGCCATATGTTTTAGCTGATCCTAGAGTAGTGATGGTACGGTGGTGTACGTTGTTGGAGGGGGCCCATGGACTCTAGTGGTTCCCTCATGAGAGTTTTGGGTACGGTGGTGTTCGTTGCACGGGGATCTTTCCTCGGACGTGTCGAGGAGGACCCTCGGGCACTGATATTGTTTAACTGTGCCATTTGAGTAGGGCTTAGGTCGAGGATCCTGTCCTTGGCTCTTTGCGCTCCCTTTCACTTGATTAGTAGTAGAAGGGTGGATTTGATTTTGTCATCGAATTCACTTTTTCCTCTGCTTTTTAGGTAAAAGCGATGTCTTGCAGGTCTGACGAGGACGAACACCCCAGGGATTTGTCTGAGGATACCTCCTCAGAGGATATTGAAACGGACGATGACTCATCGTTCCCTGATGCTGGAGGGATGACTACCGCGAGGACATCAGTCGATGATGGACCGTAGCTGAGCTAATGGAGCATGCCTCGCTCTTCACTTCATACACCGAAGACGTGTTCACTACGGTGGGGACAGAGATAATGGAGGGTCCACTTCCCCTTAGAGGATGAACGTATATGTTCAGAGTACGGGGAGAGATTTCCCATGTACGAATATGTTTTTAAAGATATAGTGCTAAGGTTTCCCTTCACGGACTTTCAACAGGCAGTCTTCGTGCATCTTGACTTGGCACCTTCCCAACTGCACCCAAATTCCATTGCCTTCTTGCGGGCGTATGAATTGGTATGCGAATACTTGCAGGTCGGGGTCACCCTTCCATTCTTCTTCAACATCTTTCATCTTCAACAACAGGTGTCGAGGAGGAAGTTTGGTTGGGTTTCCTTGAAACAGGGAAGGAAACTGTTCAAACCCTTCTCTGAATCTACTCAGACCTTTAAAGAGAGATTTTATGTGATCGAGTCGGTGCCGGAGAGAGCTACTGACTCAAACTTTGTGTGGGAGGTCTCAACAGACAAAAACGGGGAGGACCTGATAGACGATGAGGGTAAAATAGTTGCCTGTAGGTTGTTTACATTGCCCTTCTGTTGGAGTGGGGCTCACTTTACTCGTTCGACTGATGAGTACATAGTTACTCCTCATCAGTTGGTCGATGATGATCGAGCCAGCTACGCCAAACTGGTGCCCTTTGTGGATGGCTTCCTTCTTGCTCAGTGCATGACTCGCGCCAGACAGGTGCTTTATGAGGAAGATGGGGGGCTACAGGTGGAAGTCTGGTACATTAATACTAAATAGCTCCTCCAGTGTAGCACTTGCGAGGAGGCTCTCAAATTTTTGGGTAGCTTCTCGCATTTTCTTATTTTACTCGAGATGTTTTTATTTCCACGTGCTGACGTGCTTGTTATTTTTGCAGGTAAAATATCTTTGCCACATCAGAGGATGGTAAAGCATGCCCAAGGAAAGATGAAGGGTGGCACTGCCCTAGGAAGAAGTCACCTTGATCAACAACGACTTCTCCGCAGACAGGTTCATGGACTTCATTGTCAACTCCTCTAGCCACTCAAAGGTCCCCTCTGCCTGTGAGCTCGAGGCCCAAGCGCGCCCGCACGAGTGTAATTTTTGACCTCAGCCGGGAGTCCGTCAAAAACAAGTTTGAGTTGCCTCCCTGCCTGCATAACAAGAAGTTCTTCGAGGGGTCCTCCCTATTCATTCCTTGGGCAGAATCTCTAAAGCTTGAGGAAATGGACCGTCCCAGCAAATGGGCCATGCTTGCGCAAGATGCCTCTTCCTTGATGAGGATTCTGGAGATAGTCGTGGTATACACTAAGGACGGCTCTCTGCTTGAGCTCGAGTTGAAGAAGTCCCAAGTTGTGGTGGCGGCCCTAGAAGAAAAGGTTAAGAAGCTTTAGAAGGAGCGGGATAGGGAGCTCGAAGAGGCTGCACTGAAGGGTCACGAGGAGATGACCACAGAGAGGGACTCCCTGGATGCTCAGAAGAAATTCGCTAAGGACTTAGCGGAGAAACTAAAAGTCGATGCTGCCCCTGCTGAAGATGAGCCTGAGGATACGAAGAAGCTGTTGACTCGGGCGAAGCTGGTTGCTCGGGTTACTCAAGTCAGGGACGTCCTTGTGGCTATCGGCGAGGAGGTTTTCTAGAACACCGTGGACCAATTGAAGCTGGTGAACCCTGGTGTCGAGCTGGCTACCGAAGACACATGGTTCCTTTATATGATCAAGGAAGGCAAGATAGTCGCCTCCGAGTTCCTCCTGTTTGGTGAAGGTGGCGAAGGGCAGGGGCAGGTGACCCAAGAGGAGGCTCAGCAAGATGAGCAGTGAACCTTTCCTAGTTTGTGCTTTGGCCTGCGTGCCATTTGATCAACTTGTAATTTTCTTATAATTTTATTTTATGGGACTTGGCCCCTTTTTATTATATCATACACAGTTGCGGCCTTTCGTGGTCGTGCTATGTAATATGTATCAGTATGTTGTATGTTTATATCTTGTCTAATATTTTCTAAGTGTCATGTACCGTCCAACGCGGTTGTAAGAGGCACTTAGTAATTTGTTATGTTCCGGGTATGCTCGATGGATGATTTCCGTCAGTGCAGGGAACTGATTGAAAAGCTTGGGTTGTTTCTGGGAAGGGTGGAGCTCAGGCCATGATTGTGGCCTGAGTTCACGGCGTGAACTTCCCATCGCGAGCTAGGGGTTCTGTTGTTCATGGTACTTTGACAACGACGAGCTCAGTCGAGGAACTGCTGTCGAGCATGCGTTAAGTCTCTTAGAATGAACCTTGTTTAGATCTGTGTTAGTGGCGCGACGCTTGTACCTGGGCGCTGGTACCTTAGCTGTAATATTGTTTCAGCTTTTTTGGCGTTCCATGGTCGAGCTAATTCTTCCCCGGTAAGGTATTCTAGGTAGTAGGTCCCACTCTCCATTTTTGCTCTAACGTGGTAGCGTCCTTCCCAGTTTGCGGCGAGCTTACCCTTGCGAGAATCTTTGTGATTCCTCCTTAGGACGAGGCTGCCTACTTGGAATTCTCGTCGGATAATCTTGCCATTGTGCCTGATTGTGACTTTTTATTTAAGTGAGGCTTCACAGAGGGCTGCTCCTGACCGAACTTCTTCAACGAGATCGAGTTCTTCTCTCAGGGCCTCGTTGTTTGTTTCTTCGTCCAAAGGTGTTTCAGTTTGTCTGGATGGCACACAGATTTCAATGGAGATTATCGCCTTTGTCCCATATGCTAGGCGAAAAGGGGTTTCCCTAATTGATGAATGAGGTGTAATGTGATAGGCCCAGAGCATATTGTTCAGCTCCTCGACCCA